TGATATTAAATATAAAATATTTTCCCCTTGCTCTAGCCTATTTTTAGAGAAGTAATGCTGCAGGACACATAATTCAGAAAGGAAATCACTTAATTTTTTAATATGTCTTTCTTCCTATTAGTCTAAGACCATCAAAGACATGTTCAAGACCTTCTTTTAACCACAGTTTTGATGGTCATTAGTGTCTTGTTCTTGCTAGGTTCTAAACTTTCTGGCCTGATGCTTTAGCTACCCTTAACTATTGAAGTTAACACAAATGTTCATATGCTCAAGTGCTTTGTTGAATAATGGCCCCTGTGCTCACAAGCTTGTAAGAACAATCCCGCCAGTATGCAAAGAAAAACCAAAAAAAAGTCAAAAAATATCATTGTGGTTTGCTAGATGAAATATCAGAACTAACAAAATATAATAAAGTTTTAGCTGCACACAAAACAAATTATTTCAATAATTTTCTTACTCAGTTGGTTCAGAGATATTTCATCCTCCTCATGGCATTCTGTTTGAAGAAATTTGAATGAAGACAACAGGTTTACATATGGTTCATTATCTTCCAAGCTTTGATAACAGCTCCTTTCGACATACAGTTAGCATATTAATTATGTGTAATTATTTTGGAGGGAGTCAGTTTGTTGAAGTATTGTGACAAAAAGTACAGAACTTTTTTTTATTAAATGAAATACTTATTTCAAAGCTGCTAGTTATTTGTATTAAATTACTGATTTTATGCTAGCAGATAAAGGTTTTCATATGTCTTATTTTATAATATTTACTTTTATGCCTTTTTTTATTCTAATGGAAGAATCTATCAGAGTCTGCATGTTAATTACTTTCAATCCTGTCACGATGCAGAAATCGCCTTGATGTTACCGTGTTTATTGATGCCAGACATTTTTATTGCAATTAAACCTTAATCTGAGCTGCTGTTGCTGAACAATTCTGCTGTGAAACGTTGCTTTCCAGCAAATCCCATTTGATTTTCCTTCTAATAAGTTTTTTGTAATTTAGTTGCCTGCATAATAGTGCTGTCACAGCTGGTATTAATTGGCATTTTTCTACCAAATAGCAGAGACCCACATCAGAATAACATGCAAGAGCTGAAATACTTTTACAACACACACTGTTATCATTTTCACCACTTGACAGGGGTGGAACATAGATAAGGAGCCATGAAGTACTTTGCCTAAAGACCTCAAGCAAACCAGTGGCAGAACTCGCCCCAGTTCCTGACACAGTCTGCTGCAATTTTCTTGCTGTGGATCACGGAATACAAAGAAATAAATAAAATCTCTGCTTAGCTGGTTTTCTAGGGTAGCTCCATATTGATGATGTTGGGCTGCATGAGCAAATTGCACTGCTGAAATGCCCCTGCTATGCCAGTTTTTCAGCTACAAAGCTTCAGCTCCTTGTGAGAGTCAATTTGGCACTCTCCTGGAACAGTAACTGCAATATAAAGGAGAAAAAGTATTTGAGGCAGACAAAGTAGCTGTCTGCAGTAGCATGGTAAAAAAAAGAAACCACATTAGATGAAATTATTCAGCAGCAATGTATTTGTACAAAACAGAAACATGGAAGAGGTTGAAAAAGATGAGAAAAATAAAAGAAAAAACCTTTAAAATGTAGTTTATTTTAAACTGTAGAACCATTTAAACCAGAAGTTCCATTTAGGAGAACTTGCAGAATTACTTGAAATTTTGTTGGATTATTGTTTTGAATGATACTCAGAGCTTTAAATTCTGTGGGGAGGTGATTTAGTATTCCTAATAACTTTTGTGCAGCCTTGGCTTAGGCTCTGTTGAGGTCTATCAATTTAAGATGCTTAAACTGTGCATATGAGCCTGAAGTTTTCCAAGTGGCAAACACATGTAGTTGGCATTGGCATTAGTAGAATTTTCAGCTGTTTTTACAGCTTGAAGATATAGAATAAATGCACATTTTCCATCCAGAAAAATCAAAAGTTTATTTATTTGTTTTTATTAAAATTGAACTAAAGCATTTGAATTGGGGAGGGGGAGAAAGCACAAAAATCTGATGAAGAACATCTTTGTAAACACTATTGATAGAGAGCTTAGAGCTTTATTTTCACTCATGTGAAAATAAAGGCAGTTTGGGGTAAATTAAAAAAAAAAACACCCTTTAAAGCATTCCTTGAGCCATAAATTTCTAATTAGAGATGTAAGATTTCTGACCAGCAAAGTTAGCTGCATACCCTTGTTGAGCAAAAGAGCTAAGAGTGCATGGGATTTTAAGAACATGATCATGTGGTGTCTGTACAGCCATTTTTCTTAAGTCTAGAAAGTCAATTTGTACTTCAGAAAATCTACTTTAAAAATCACAGTCATAGTAATTAATATCAACTATTAGTTTATTTGAAAAGATTAGTTATGTGCATTTGTCTTACACACCTAAAAATCTTTAGCTTGGGCATCTGGAGATAGTTTCCATGTCAGTATCATTGAGAGGTTTTTAAAGCAATTGTCCTGGATTGCTTTTTTTTTTTTTTCTTTCTCTTTATATAAATTTAAAATAAAGTAATTATTTGAGTAAGCTGTCAGCTGTTTGTACTTAAGTAGTTATTTTGTTGACTAATTTCACAATCTTAGAGCTGCTGAAATGAGTGCTAGTACTTATTATGTCCTTCAGGTTCACTGTTTCTATACAAATATTTTGAGTTCTGGGGAATACGAATGCTTGCTGTTTGTGCAAGCATCACTATTTCTAGTATCAAATGATAGACATTCTAACCACGAGAACAATGAAGTTAAAAAGCTCTATAAAGACTCATAATTGAAAATTTAGAATCAAGAAAACTCCAGATATTCAGAAGGAGGTTGATACTGTGATATCTGAAATACCAGGGAGGCAGACTGAAACAGTCTGGCAATTTCTTGACAGTGTTTTGTACTTATTATAGCGGGAATGGCTGAGTTTTGTGATAAAACTCTGCAAAATCAATCCCATTAGGTAACGAATATTCTGTTCATATTAACTACTCAGATGGCTTTTTGGAAAGAGTTGTGGCTGTGAGCTCAGTGTGTGAACCTTTGCTGAGCTTGGTCCAGAACCCTTGGCTCTGGTGGCAGGGGCTGACATTCAGCGGGATGCAGCTGGAGCTCATCCATTTCCCATCCCTCAGTGTGCATTGGACAGCTAAACCCAAAAATCTAAATAAAATTATAGTAGTGATCTCACTAGGACAGTGTGCATTGCTGAAAGGCGGGCTGGGAGAGCTTTTCTTTTGTATGTGTGGTAAATACAAAATCAGCTTTTTAATGTTTCATAAAACTTTAGAATAATGATCTTGATGAGCAACTTTATGAGACAGGCATATTCTAATAATTTTTCTGAGCTTCTTATTGGTCTTTCTAGATAATTTCATGCATTTTGTCTTCTTTTGCTTTTAAAAATATTAAAGGTAATTTCTTAAACAATCTTGTCATTTCATGTGCATACTTCATGCATGCATATACACTTTGACTTTTTCAGGGTTCTAGCTTTATTTAATCACAAAAGTTCCCACCTTTCCCTATTTTTAAAAAAGTTTCTGTCTCAAGTAGGAGCTACTTTCTTATTGTGTTTCATGCTTTATTCTGTTATATTGTATTGTATTAGTCAGACTTTAGACAGTGTCAGGACAGATATTTCAAAAGGAGAAAACTGGGGGGGGGTTGTTGTGAATTATTTTTACATTTCTCTTTTTTAGCACATGGTATTTAACTTGTGTATCTTCCATTTTTTAGATTTAGGTATTTTCCACAAATATAGAGGTGAGAACCTACTTACAAATGCACTGTGAGTTTTTGTCTTCATCCAGTAAGCACACCATGTGGGAAAACTTGAAGAGATAAGCAAAAGCACATCCATTTCTTTATTTATTTTAAATGAGAGGGAACAATCACAAAGCAGGAAATGTACTTTTTAATGGAATTCTTTTTGAAAGAAGTATTGTTTCTAAAGAAATTGCAAAAATAATTAGCATATATGTTATTACGAAGAACAGCTACTGCAAAAACCTATTTCAAGGGGCCATTTCAGCTATTTTCCTACAATAGTAATTTTCTCTTTAGTTTACAATCGTTTTCTTCTGAATGTAGACTGCTTATAGCAGTCTAATACCAGATCAGCCCTTAAGGCATCAGAGATATTTGTTTTCCCTCCTGAAACCCACAGTCAGGCACATTACTGATTCTGTCATACCAAGCTGATTAATAATAACAGACATAATTTTGCATCCCCTATATAGGGAATGAAATCCAGAAAAATGTCAGGAACTACTTGCACTACCTAATGTTTTCCTTCTTTTGTCAATTCTTTTTTGCTCTTTGTTTTGCTTCCTTATTCAGGCATTATTAGACAAAAAGCTAGAAGAGCTGAAAATAAGTTGAAAGCTTATACTGTTGGTACTGCAGCAAGTTTTGTCATTGATTTAAATGGGAGTAAACTTAAGCCTTCAGTATTACTCATAAGAATCAAGACTAGAATTTTATTTGGACAGATACTAAACTAAACGTATTATGGCATATCCTGAAAGAAGAAAGCTTGGGGATTTACAGGCATTTTCTCATATTTTCAGGCACAGATTTCTCAGTGTCAGGCAGCAGTATTGCAATGCTCTAACAATATAAACAGTCAGGCAGTTGACACCAAGTCTGTCTCATTATTTCCAGGATGATTAGAAGTAGCAGCATTGAGATTATTTTTTTAATGCTCAGTTTAGATTCTTTTTTTTTTTTTAATGTAAGCAGCATATGGTAACATATCTGAAAATGAAATTTCACTTTTTATCTCCTTTAGCTGATACAAGGTTTAAATTTCATTGGTGTATCATTTTTTCTCCATTATAATAAAGATTGCTTAGTGAGGAATTACCAACTCTACAATACTTAAAATTCCTTCTGTTTTTATCCAGAGAAGCCAGAAGAGTTGCAATGGTGAAAATGTACTTTATGTCTTTCGGTGAAAACAAACTTATATGTCTTTTCCTCTCTTTTTATATCATTTAGATATCAGCATGAATCAATTCCAGGTCCACTGGTTACTGGAGTCCTGTGCACACAATGACACCAAAGGACTTAGGAAAGTAACAGAGCTGACTTATGTAAGTCTCCTTTGAGCCCTCTGCTTGACTCTGAGTAGTTCTTAGGCAGCAAGAGAAAGGATGCTTCTGTAACATAATGCAATATGTGTTGTACCCTGTTTCATAGATCAGTAAGGAGGCTTTCTTTTTTATGTTCCTCTTTGGCAAAAGATAAAAATTATGTATCTGGACTGGTTTTGGGTTTCTTGGATTTCCTGAATACACACTAGGTTAAAATATTTTATTTGTTTTTGTTGTTATTCAGAAAATGAGATCAGACAAACTTCTTAACTAAGTACTTCTATATCTCTACAAGATATAGAACACAGAGCTTTATCTGCAATTAATAATGTAAGACTTTAGCACAGTGCAAATACTGAACAGTAATAATAGTAATTAATAAACCAGGTTTTCTTTTAGACATGCAGATGAGTTTCAGGTGATTATTCTCCCTGAGGAGAATAATAGATAAGAAAAGAAGAACTGTAGGTGACAAATACTGGATATTAAATCTGGAAGTTGAACAGATATCAGATGGGGAGAAAAGCTCCATGGCAGCCCAAATATATATTGTAGTGGCAGTACTTCCTACTCATTTTGATGGCAATCTAGTGTCATCTGTCTCTATATCACATTATTTGAACAACAGAGCAATGTGATTGGTGCATCAGAATTGCTTTAGTCTGTTATGCAGAATGGACAAAATCACAATTCACCTTTCCTTCTTACCCTGATCTGTACTACCCCATTACATGACATTCAGGGGTGTTAATGTCATGTAAAGGAGTAAATCAAAAGATATGATTTCTCATACAGGATGGTGTTAGTTTGTAAGATTTACTGCTTCAGTAAATCTTGGGGTCAGCAAAGCACAAATTAGAGGTGTGTCACAGTGGTCAGAAGGGTTGCAGGATGAAGAGAGAGGCAAGAATGTTGACCTCATGTTTAGAAGGCTTGATTTATTATTTTATGAAATGTATTACATTATGACTATACTAAAAGAAATAGAAAGAAAAATTCTCAGAAGGCTAGCTAAGCTAAGATAGAAAAGAGTTAATAACAAAGGTCTGTGTCCCAGCAGAAAGCGAGACCTAGCTCTGCCGTGAGTGGTCAGCAAATCCAAACATCCACAGGAGACCAATCACGGATCCACCTGTTGCATTCCACAGCAGCAGATAACCATTGCTTACACTTTGTTGCTGAAACTTCTCAGCTTCAGCAGGAAAAATCCTAACGAAAGGATTTTAATGAAGAGATGTCTGTGACAGAGGTGGATTTAAAAAATGATTTTGACATAATGTTATGGAGATAGAAGAAGCAACATTTAAGAAGTTCATTTCCACTAGAGGTCAGGAAAGACTGTTTGGACATCTGTCCAAATGCATTGTGGGATTAATGAATTTATTTCCAGTAATTTCCTTATTTCCAGTCATTTTATGGTAATTCATCTAATCTGTCATGATAAATAAAAATAGTCCTGTCACAATTTTAAGGAGAGATCAAACCTGTTGGAGCACTCCCAGCAGATGGAAGGCAGGGTGTCCAGTCTCAGCCCAGTTTGTATGTCCTGTGAAAATGACCTTCCAAGCAAAGGTTAGACTAATTTGCAATTAGAAAAAAGAGGGAGTTATGCAGAAGAACCTGGGAAGTTAGTGATTCTGAAGGGAATTAGAGATCTAAAAGGTAGCAAAAGACTTTTGACCTTAGCCAGTAACATATTATTAGAGATTTTTTTCAGGATAAAAGCCAACCAATCAAACATTTTTTTCCGTATATGATTTGTGTTAAAGCTTTCAGACTGTAATTTTCAAAAGTACTTCAGGCAATGGGAAGACTTTAGGACAATTACACTTTGTGTAAAGTTTTCTTCTCCACTTCTTGTCCTTAAATAGAGACTTCTGCTTTGTATTTAGCTGTGGAGTTTTTCTTCCTGATAAGAAAATAGAAGTACTTAATGCACTCAAGTGAAAAAATATGCATCCATAATGCAATGCTGACTTTAAATGTGCTTTTAAAAAGTTAAACATAGATGAAGCCTGTCATTTACAGCAGCTTAACTCAGCTTTCTTACATTTATTTAATTCGATTAGCATTTATATCCTCCCATTGCTACCCCCACTGCCATCATTCACAGAGACTGCTCTAAATATTAGAAGTCAGTTGCTTTGATGCCGTGTGTCGAAGGAACTGTGTAGAATTGAAGGACATTTTCAAATACCATGCTAATATATTTTACTACTGAAAATAATCATGACATTGACAATACTTGCTTTCTTCTCTGAGTTAAAACCACATTGGCATGTGTTAAGCATCCAGGAAAATATTTTTGTGGAGAGAACTTTTAATCTTTTGCCAAAGTTATTTTTCAATTTGTTCATATTTTTTTTTTTCCTTTGGGCTCTATTTTCAGCATGTGATCTTTTTGTTTTTCTTGTTGTAGGAAAACTACATTATTCTGAAGGATCTGTCATTTTCATGCAAATACAAAGTAACTGTTCTGCCTGCAAAATCTAAAGGTCGTTTTAAGGCTGAGAGTACTTTCTTTGTTACCCCACCTTGCTCTGCGTTTAAAGAAAAAAAACACAAGCACATTAATTGTCCTGCTGAAGGAGGTAAGGCATGATCTGCAGAACTACCAAATAGTTCCAAAAGCATTTATAATCACCAAAAGAGAGTCTTAAAGAGCAGTTTTAGGATAGAAAATGAGAGATTTAAAACAAAAATATCACTAATGCTTAAGTGAAAATCAACAGAAATACACAACAGCATTGATTTTGGTTAGTACATTATTACTGTTTTTTCAATTAAGAGTAATCATAGTGGACATACAAAAATATCTGACATGGTTGTTGTTTTTTTTTTTTTTGTAAGGAAGAATGGTTCCCTATTGTATTTATTATAATAATGGAGGATAACTGTAAACATGATTATGGTAGTGTGACCTATCTTTTTAATGTTTTGCTGCAGATGCAAGCTGCTTTTCCAGTTTGATTTTGTTTAGGTTAATTCTGCTCTCCAATAAGAAATAGAGGCCCTCTAATCTTTTCCAGCATTGTCACAATATGTAACTAGAGGGCTATGGAAGTTGCAGAATTATGGATATATTAGTTGGAGAGGATTTCTGTGGTCAGCTTGTCCTGGCCCAGGTCAGCCATGGTTTTGCGCTGCCACGTGTGGATACCTCTCACCTGGAGTCCCTCCTATTCCCAAGGATATCCCCATGCTCCATAAGTCACCCAGAACCCTGCTGGCCTTCACTGCCATTTCCTTAATGCCTGTCCTGACAGTTCCCAGCATTACAGCCTTCCTGGGCAACTGTAACTCAGGTATAACTTCCCCCCAGTCAGACTGCCCTGTTAACTTGTACTGCAGTCTTAGTGCATGAATTTTACTCTTTGGCTGAATTATGGAGTTCTGTGCTACCCTGTGCATTTTCTTGTGGCCTCAGAACTTCCAGTCTGAATTCAGCTATTCTGAAATATGAGGAGCAGGAGAATGGCTCCCTGTGACTGAGGCACGTAGGTCTTTACATGCCATAGCTTTCTTTTCTGTACCTGCATCTGAGAGCATTTCATCTGAAGTTTGGGTTTGGTCCAAAATGTCAGTGGAATATATCAAACATAGGTTTTTGGTTAACACTGAAAATGTGATGGTGGAAAGCTGCCTGCATCATGTGTAAAATAGAAGTAAAGCTCTGCCTGGCCTTGATTTCTGAAATGAAATTAATATTATTGAAGATTATCTGTAACAGTTCAGCTTATCTTTTTTTGCTTTCCAAATTTGTAGTGCCAGTTCTACCCAAAGTGTTGGCCAAACCCGAGAATCTGTCTGCATCTTTCATTGTTCAGGAAGGTAACATCACTGGCCATTTTTCCTGGAAGATATCTAAGGCAGACCTTCACCAGCCCATGACAGGGTTTCAGGTCACTTGGGCAGAAGTGACCACAGAGAGCCGGCAGAACAGTTTGCCCAACAGCATCATTTCCCAGTCACAGATACTGCCAGCAGTAAGTTGTTTGTTACTTTCTTTTGCCCGTGGCTCCCTAAGTTTGTGTGTCTGTGCCTCATTTGTAATGTTTAGTGGTGATACAGATGTCAAACACTGGTTCTGCAACTGAGTTGGAGCAGGAAGTACTTAATTTTTCTTCCTTGATGGGGATACAAAACATAGCTGCTATTCTTGATGATACATCAAACATTTTAACCTGTAGAGCCTGGAGATGCCTTTAATTATCTATCACTGTATGTATCTGTCTATTTTTAGCACCTGGTTAACTTGCAGAAGGCTCTGATTTGAGCTGAAATAGTGTCTTCTGTCTTTCAGAAACCACCAAGATTTAGGGCATTTATACCAAGGACCATTCACTCTGACTGAAAATGTAGTATTTACGCAATCAGGGCTGAAATGCACAGGGCTCAACTGCTGGAGTTGCTGGATGAGCAGAGTGAGTGTACAAGTGCAATGTATGCACTCCTCTCTCTGCCCTACCCATGCAGGATTTTATATGATTTGGAACAGCTTCAGCCAGGTCTGTTAAAGGCAATCCCATCTCGGAATATGTGCTAATTTTCCAGGAAAACATGTTTCCCCCCACTTTTTCTGTCTCTTCTTTCCCTTTTACTGTCTGCTCTGGCAGTAGCAGCAAATTATCCCACAGGAATGACCAAAGTTATTCCCACAATGTGCTTGGGCTTCCCCACATGGGACAGGTACAGTACCAACCAGAATCACCTGTCCTGTGGATTCCTGGCCAGACCAGCCTGGCTGGTCACAGGAACATCCTGCTGTCCTCATGTCCTGCATCACTTCTCCAGCTGTCTCCTTCCTGGGCCTGGGCCTTTGCAGCTTGGAATAAGATGAGTGATTTGTTCCAACTTAATGCAGATGATTTATAGGTTTGATTTTGTTTTAGATGAATGACTTCTGATTCCTTAATGTCTGTGAGTCTTTAGCTAGATGTATTCCCATGTGAAAGTTTCTGTGAAATGACTTTGAAATTATTTAGCACATGTCTAAGTGACCACAAAAGGTATGGAGCAGTGAAAAGTGAATCCATCGTGCCGTAAAGGATGTCTTAAGAGCAGAAGGCAAATTCTTATGGTGTAATTGGGACAAATCTGAAATTAGTGTGGTCACCCTTTTTTTCCCACAAGCTGCAGAAGTGGCCCCAGGCCAGCCACTACTTAAATTACCAATTAGTAGAATCCACTTGCAAATCCAAAATAAAAAACAGTTTATGTAATGAACATGTTTGTTAAAAGGAATGGTTAGGAAAATACATTTTGATTTGTTTTTTAGTGATGGGCATATCAGCTTTTTATGGAAAGTGATCAGCACACTTTCCATAAAAGTCTGTAACAACTTGGACCTTGTACACCTGAAACCATAGTATTATGGTTAAAAATGTGTCTGTTCAAAGGGACTGGCAGGCAAAAAATTCGAAACACACTCGCTCAACGAAGTGATGCATACGTTAAATCCTTTTAACGGAATTCTATGAAAATAATTTGTGGCTGCTGACAGTAATAGAACCTGTTTAAACCAATGATGTGTGTGAGCAGAACAGCTATGTTTTATTTTCCAGTGGCCTGAGAATTGAGGGGATGTGTTTAATTTTAGGATCACTACATCCTCACCGTGCCCAACCTGAGGCCCTCCATGCTGTACCGCTTGGAAGTTCAGGTGCTGACGACTGGAGGGGAAGGGCCAGCCACAATCAAGTCCTTCCGCACGCCCGACCTTCCTCCGTTTGCACCCCACAGTAAGCTCTGACCTCCTCTGAAATGTGCTCGTGACAGGTTACAGAATTTCAGTCTTCCACATTTGAAGAGTGGAAACCTTTCTCAAGCCTTAGAGCTTTTACTGATTCCAATAGCATTCCATAAACTTAAGCTGTGTGAAAATACTGGCTTTTTTTCCCTTGATGACTGTCCATCAGCAAATCAAGTCTCTCAATCATTTTCTGTGGTCTAACATTTGCCATTTGTTGCAGCCACAGATCTTTGGCCTATGCCTATAGCACTTGGGATTCACAGTTGGTCTGTCCTCCAGGGGCAGCCTGGAGTGATTACATAGCTTTCAAGATAAGATTTTTCTGGGTTCGCTCAGTCCAGCATAGCTAGAGCTTAAACATATTTCTAAAGCAAGGCAAACCTTTTAATGGCCATTTCCAGCACTTCATGTGTTTCTGAAAAATACAGCTCAGTGTTGCAAAGCCAAATAAAAAATACAATTAGTTCAAAATCTGTCTGCTTGAATATTTTTGTCCTTTTAGAGGCCCACTAAAGTTGCCTGGACTGAACATACACATAGTTGCCAGCACAGACTCAGCATTTATAAGCTGAAGGATTGAAAGCTGAAGGTCTCACAAAGCCTTTTCAGTATGGATAAATGTTGGCATTACATATACAGGGTTTGATATGTGCATAATTTCCTGTTCTTTTGTTTAGGACCTCATCTGAAGCAGCATCATCCACATCACTACAAGCCATCCCCAGACAAATATTAGACTGTTTCAGATGATTATACAAATAACTGAGAGAAAAAAACTGAGCTCCCAAATGAGGGCTGGGTAACAGCACATCGCTTGGAGCAGTGAACCCAGTTTTCCAATGGAAGCTAACATCCTGTAGGATCTGTATCTACTTCTCTGTAGTTTAGACATGAAGAATTATGTTTGCACCATGACCAGGATGAATCATACACCAAGTATCATTTCAGTACCAGCACTATTCAACAAACTGATGACCACATCCAGCTCAACACCTGGGAGAAAATATTCATTATACTGTTCATTATAATGTTTTTATATTCTGTGTTTAAAGTAGGTTAAATGGTGCAGTGTATACAGGTTTTTCTCTTATTGAATTCAATGTTACTATTTGCAAGGTCCTGTGATGTATACATAGTTTTGAAAAATTGTCTCATTAATGGATTTAAATTATCTGTTTTACTTAAAGCCCTGCCTGTCACCAATTTAAGGTCTGGTGTATTTTGCTATTAAAGAATATCTCAATTTGAAATTAATTATCATCAATTAATTATAATTAATTATTGAAATTAATTATCTCAATTATCTCAGTCTGAAATAAGCAAATAAGTAAAATGAATACCAGTAGCAAAAACCTTGAAATACCCAGTTTTTAATAATTGTAGTGTCACCATGGAGGATACATATGTATTACCCATCTGATCTAAAGTGGTAATGTTCTATCATGTAGATCTTCTATTAATACAGTTAATAGTTAAAAGATATACAGGGTAGAAACACCATTGTAGAGAAACAAATGACTATTAATAGAATTGTTTAAAACTTATGGCAATGAATGCAGTTGATTAATAGGTTCTAGAAGAATAACTTTAAGCTTCTTTACTTACAATTTTTTGATACATAATATTTCAGGGTATAATATTATCTTGAATACAAGCACCAATTTTCTAGTTAAAAATCTGAATAGTTAACATTAAAGTTTTAGAAACTGAAATTCTGAGGCACATTTGTTATTATAGTAGCTGTGTAGCTACTTTTTGGCTTTGAATTTTGATGCACATATTTCTTTTCCCTGTGGATCTTTAGAACAGAAGGATGGATGTATTGGCTCTATTTTGCTGTTCTGCTTACAGAAAGAATTATGTGACAATATTCTGGCATCTGGAAAACATTGGCTTATAGTTTATTTGAATTCATTTTTCAAATTTAGACAGAAGGGTGCCCTTTTCAACCATAAGGGAATTCATATTGCCTTATTGTGCAATATAAACTGTCTAGAATAATTTGTCACACAGAGACACATGTCTCAATAGTAAACAGAAACTGCTTGGATTTATTATTGCGAGGGTGGAAAGTATCTGCCAATAAACATCCGTACAAATGCCCATAATCAGCTCTTAATGTTCAAGATGTTCAAAGTGCTCCTGAATTCTTTGGCACTATTTCCATTGCCGCTTGAATCATCACACCAGACTAATGTACCTCAAAACTTGACTCCAACTGGACAAAGTGGCCACTTTTACTACCAGCAGATGATACAGACTCATCTGTGCTTCATATTTTTCTGAGATATTCAATAAGAGGAGCTTGGACATTAGTGGTACATGTATTTGCCTTGTCTTGATGACAAACTGTTTTGTGAAAAAGCAAGTATGAAGAAAGACCTATCTGAAACTGAGGATCAGATCTGTGTTTATCATAGAATGTTCATGAAATATTCAGTTTGCCTATACTGAAGTTTACAGCTTTTATACCACAGAGGGGAAGGAATCTGCATTAATTTCTGATCACTTGCTCATTACAATTTTTTTACAAATTTACCTTCAGTTTTAAAGGGCTCTTTTGCATTCTTTTCTATTTTGGTTGCTGTGTTTTTAGATATTGGTCACTCTTGGTCTCTCACTTAGTGACCAAGGATTTTCCCAGACTTTTTCTATTGCTACATGGTTTGCAAAGGCCTTTACCAATAGGTTAAAATATATTAAAGGTTATGGTGCTTTGAATTCCTTCCTCTATTTTCCAATATGCATTAGCAAATTAGCAGATGAGTTCTTATCCCAAAAATCTGTAGTATAAAGGTTTATTTTCAGTTTTCTTAGAATGCGAGAGTCTGAGATATTTTTGTCAGGATGAGAGTGTTTCAGTGTACATTTTTACAAAGAAAACAAAATTTGCATTGGACTGGTGTGCAGCACTGCTTTCACATTTGGATTGCACAGGGCATAAATGAGTCTAAAAGTGATCTTTGTAGTGTTTGCTGGATCAGCAGGATCAGGGAAAGTAATTACCTCAGTCTTCTCTGAAGAATTCTGTGCAAACCTTTCAATCACAGTCTGTTCTACTTGTGCTGCATCAAATTGACACTGACTTGATTAGTGTTAATGAAATTACATTTCATTCATAGTGGCACTGTAAGGAATAGATGTTGCTCTTTGGTACAATGATGCCAATTCACTGGAGATAAGCAGTAAATTAGGAGCCCTGAGTCCTCATGAAATCATCCTTCTGTGAAGAATCAAAATGGTTTCTGTTTGCTGGTGCCATTCTCTCTGAGACATTCTTCTGTTCAAAGTAACAGTACTTTTAAGAACACTGAGAGGTTTCCCCTTCTGAACTAGATTGATCAAAACCAAAAGCTGAAAGTAGAAGTCTAGTGATCAAATGTATTATATTGAGTCCACTAAGATGTAAATTATTTTTTTCCTTCTACAAATGATCTTATCAACTCACCTTTTAAGTCACCCTCCAAATCAAAAATGAAAAATTCAACAAAGTCAACAAAGCTCATGGATAGATGTTAAATTTCCAGCTGTGAGTGATTTTCTGATTATTTTTTTAAATTAGCACTACAGATTTGAAGTTTTTAGTGCCTAATTCTAAAGCTTTGTTTGCTGAATCACGCAGGGTATTGTCCTAATTTACTAGACTAAGCCACGTTAAACATTTAATTCAGCAATAGAGTTGCAATTTGCTACCTAATTCCCTAGTTAAAGATTTATTTTCTCTAATGATGTTGTGTAATTCAGAGTTAATATTGGGAGGATATTAGAGATACTGGGATGTTTTAAGATACTCTGCACCTTTACACTAATGTATTATTTACTGTGCACGATTCTGATGGATTTGTCAGTTGAATTCAGGATGCATTTTGTTTATCTTTATTTCTTAAAGGAGAATTATAAGATTATGCTATTTTTGCTAACTGCTTTGTGAAGTGATTTTTTTTGTTCACTGGTGATTTTTGTGTAAGAAAAAAATGGTTTGTTCTTGTTATATCTTTTTTTTTTTTTTGTTGACCATTTTTGAGTTGTTTATAGAGCAGGAGAAAATAAGACAGAACTTGTGCTGTATCATCCATGTGCATCAACTTGAATATTCATTAAGCATATAGCACACAGACAATAAGTAAGAAGTCTGATTCTTTAAATGCAGAACATCCTCAGCTTAGGGCTTCAGAAGGAGCTGAGGACCTGGTGTGGCAATGCTGATACTGACACTGATATTTGGCATGGTCACACACAAAGTAATTTCTAATGTGAGTGGGAATTTGGCAATTCTGCTAATTGTTATTAGCAGAACTGTATAGAAAACTTAACAGTGAGTCAATTTATTTTGCAATACTTTCATCTCCATACTCCCAGTTGCAGTCAGGGAGAGTTTCCAATAAGCAGGTCCTGATTCAGGAAGGTTGGCACAAGGGAAATCAGTGGCATGGAAATAAACCTGTGCAGTAAAGAACGAGCTTTAGTGATGCTTCAAATCAAGCATCAAACATGGATGTCAGAGTTTGTTTGTTTGAATAATGTCTTAAATCAGGGCCTTGTAAAACAAAGTGGGGGAACCAGACAGTTCTAAATTCTGTGTAAAACACCATGAAAAATTTTATTTTTGTGTATATGTAAATGTCATAGTGATATTGACTTATTTATTAATTAATTTTCTTATACTATGTGCCAAGTATGTTCCTACCCTTTTGATCAGTACCTGTGAACATCAATTACTAAAAATAATGTTATGCAAAACTTGTGCATTTTAACCAGGAATATGCTACTAATAATCTGTTGCATGTAGTTTTTCAATGATTAAAAAAACCCTTTATTTAAAAAAAATGTAAATGGATACCTGCAGATGTTGATGATTATATGTGGGTTTGCATGCCAAAACTCATTGTTCAGTTGTGGGCATGAAATGTAACGACTGTATTACCTCTACTGATATATTAGTAAGGTACTATTTACAAAGTAATTAACAGAGCTCTATATGTAAATTTTTTCCGTTTTACTTAATTATATTGTACTAAAGGTAACAAATGCTTCTCTGTTACCCAAATTGGCTGTAGAAATTACATTCCTATAACAGTCATTTAAAGTCAATATTTATTTATGTATGTAATACAAAAAGATTGGTCTTATGTGTTTGTCCTGTTATTTAGAGAAAAAATATACACTTGTAAAAACATTTTGTAAAAAAATACAAATGTAAATAGAGTCTGATTTCTTTTACTCACTATTTTCATGTTTAGAATTTGTACATACTGTTTATGTAATAAACTATCCTACATCAAAATATTGCTACATTATCTCCTCCATACAGAGTTTAGAATTTTGCTTCTCTTGAGTCGAAGAGGTAGAGCCACCTAAGAAAAATCAGTGTCATACCAAGTACCTCTGCTTCATCTAAATTTCATTGTGTCTGAAGTCATGCCATTTTACCGTGTCTTTACTAGAACATTTTGTTTTCTTTACATAGTCTTCAAAATAATGTGAAAATAAAATTAAATATTATTTGAGTCATTTACATTTAAACCAATAGTAGAAGTAAAAAGTCATGCATAAGAGCTTGCTCTTTCTCTAGCCTAACTGGATAGTTCATAGTGAAGATTTGTTGATCCTTTTGTTTTGCTAACTTAAATTAAGTTGCTGGATCTTTGCCAGTGGCTTGATCCTGCAAGCCAAAATTTTCATGACTGAAACTCATGGTGAGTCTGTGTATGCACTAGATTTGGAGTGTTTTCTGTTCTAAAGTGCAGTATCCTATGGTTTAAATTTTGTATTTTTAACAAATATAAATATCTGTCTTAGTACAAAACTTTAATTGTTTCAAATTTTCATAGATGCACTGTTATTCTCAGGTGCAATATCCTTAGTTCAGAGATGCACCTTTGAGTACCTCTTGACTTACCTAATAAACATTTCTTTTTTGTTAACTTGATCAAAATCTCCAAAATTTCCTGGTATTTCTATCTCATTAGAATAACTGCTTACATTTCTAGTTTTGATTTTCTTCTTACATAAATGAGTAATATTTAGAAACCCCTCCTATTTTTAAATTTTTCTGCAAGTGGGAATTTCTATAATATTTGCTGTTGTGGTTCAGTAAAGCCAAGTAAGAATGCTATATCACCTGAAAAGCTGAATGGGTAAGTTGTCAAAATAAATGGTTGAGCTGTTCTATACGATGTAATTCAGAATAGCAATTCATTTTTTCTTTCCATGTCCTCAAAGAAATATTTTATTCTACATTGGAATAAAGGACACAATGACTGGATTAAATAAAGCATATGAAATAAAGCAAATTTACTACATATAGAACAGTATCCATCATTTTGGGGGTGGTACAACCTGGCTTTTGTGCACCTAAAACCAGAATACACTCAAAAGATGCCATTTCATAAAATAAATTAATACAATGAAAGCCTGTTCCAGTACAAAGCCAATCCCTCATATTTCTATTTTCTGATTACAGGTGTTGTGTTGTCATTGTCTGAATCTATGCCAGCCTCCTTGAGGAGGGCCTTGGGCCAAAACAGTGGCTGCAGCCCTCGGTGGCAGTGCAGCACCTGGAGGGTAAGGAAGCACCAGGGAGAGCAGTGAGAATGAAAGCTTTGAAACAGAGCCAGTGTGCAAGCAGTGAATTGCTACGTCCCCTTTGCATTGTGCTTAATTTCCTTCTTGCTCCTGCTCAAGGTGCTGGCAAGAGTGCAGATGAATATTTAATACACACCTTGCTATAAGCATTTACTGAGTGCTGTGAGGCACAGCAACTAAAGAATTTATGAATGCTTTCTGTACCCAGTTCCTTACCTGTGCTGGTGATTTATTCATGTTACTTAATAATGAGCTGCATTCAGCAGGTCTGTTTCTTCTCAATGGAAAATCAGCTTTGGAAGCAGTGGGCTGTCATTTTTCAGGAGAGGTAGGCAAATATGCTGCACACAAATATCCCTTTATATTTGTGTGCAAATGTATTTATACAGCAAATAGAGCTTGCTTGTCTTTTGCACAAACTGTTCAGCATTAATATGTGTGCAATAGTTCAAAATTTTCTGTCTTTCACAATAACTCGGAGTTGGCTGATTAGTAATGATTAGTCAACATTTTTGTCACAATTTTATATTTTATTTAGAAAATACTGCCTGATTTAAATGGCTCAGACTGCACAGTTGTGAGTAGATGCAGAGTGATGAGCTGGAATTTCCATGCTGTCATTTTATGTAAGTGAAAGGTACAGGAGGCACTGGGAACAGAAGAGCATCAGTGGCACAAAAAGATTCTGCTCACCTGATGTATTAATTTCTTTGCCAACATCCAATTTCTAGTATTAATTCCAGTATTTGTAGTCATCTGCAAACATTCAAATTAATATCTTAAATTTCTTTTCTGAGACGTGCTGCAATACTTGCTTGAAATGTAAATATTTCAGATTTTCTGTGAATGCGCCTCAAGATCTGCTAGACTAACCATGAAACAGGAATTTGCAAAAAAAAAAAAATCTGGTAAGTGCTAGTTGTCCTCTCAGAACAGTTACTTACAACTGTTATTTTTGCTTGGTGTTTATTGAATCATACTGTAGACAAAGAAGATCCATACACATTTTTCCCGTGCTTTGAGGGAAATACCTCTTGTCACAAAGGACAGCATTTAATTGGTGAAAGTGCTTCATGAGTGACTGAGTCACCAGGGGCTTACAGAAGATTTACACCAGTGAATGAACCCTGTACTTTTTTAATTGTCTGAAGATGGTGTTAATTTCTCTTGCCTTTTAACCTGAACTTGAAGGGGATTTTAGTTTTGCTCTGTAGTGGATCTGTGTGCATTACTTTTGTTGTGAAGGACTTGCCTCTGTTACTACTCTTAGTCCTACATGGCACACTGCAAGCATGTTTCTCTTCACTGCTTAATGCTGTAAAAATTTAGGTTTATGATACCTTTCCAATAGAAAATAAATCCATTAATATATATAATGTATTTATAGCAGATTTCAGTAAAAGGTTCCTTGTCAGCAATGTATTATTTGTTCTTCAATATAAAGAATATTTGCAGCTGTGTTCTTCAACATAAAGAATATTTGCAGCTGTATCTCATTTAAATTATTATGTACACAATATAGTTTTGTTTGTAGAATAGAAAATCTATCTTTCTACACATCAGCTATGCTGGCCACAAGAAACTGTGGTGAGCACATATACCTAAATATTAAATGAATTCGTGGATGTAACTCATATTTGCATTGATAAATGCCATTAAGAATAATTTATGTTCAGGTTAACTAAATATGTCACACTGACTAAAATGGATCCCAGTTCATCTGAAAAACTTTGATAAAATCCTAAGGTGATCCCCTATTTATTTTGTAGGTGATTTTATAACATTTGTTAGTAACTTTGTAAAACATGAAAAAAAAATTCAGAATTTTATATACACTCGTTGGGAAACTAGGAGTTAAACAACATAATTGGTGTCTTCATAGCTCCAGACTTTATCTAGGAGACTTGTTCTTTTATCTCAGCTAACCTCAAAATCTCTAGCATATCTCTGTCACAGGTGATGGGTTGCTCAGAGCCTTGTCCTTTCATGTTTTGGAAATAAGAATGGGGATTCCACATCCTCTCATTAATTACTTGTGAAACAACAGTAAGGCAAGCAGTGACATCTTAAATATCAAGGAAATTGTATTGAAAAAAAAATGTGGCATAAACAACATCAATTGGGCCTGTCATTACAAAGAAATAAAAAAAAATTCTTTTAAAGAAAAAGCTTATACATTCTTCTATTTTCAGTATGTTTGTGATTAAACCCTTTGCACACTGTCCCTGGGAATACAAAGCTAAAAGAAAATGAAACCTGCAACTTCTCAACATATTTTTATTTTGTCATTAGTTATCTCTCAAATCTTGAGAAATGAGAGATGAGAAACTTGATCAGCCATGTTTCTAGAGAATTTACTGGTTGCTTAATTTACAAAACTGCGTGAATTACGATTCATGTGATATTTGACCACATCAACATTCAATGAGTTTTTCAATATTAAACTGACAATGGCAATGGCCCTTTTGTGTTGCCTCTTTTATATGCGTCATGTTGTTGGTTTGAGGAACTGCAGCTGCCAAAATTGTGTGAACTCCTTAGTCAGGTAGCACATTTCTCTTGGCAGGGTAGGAGCTTCTGAGGAGACCGCTGAGGGCTCAGGACAGCTCAGCTGAGGGGAGTAGGTTAGCTTGCTGTGGCAGAGTGTGTAGGGGGATAGAATATAAGAAAATAAAGGTAGCAGAGAAAGTAATCCTACCCCTAAGGAGTTGCAGCTAAGCCAATTATTAGAGGTTAGGAGCAGGCCTGACTTTAACAGGCCAGAGCTGTAGCCAATAAAGAAGAGTGTTATTAAATAATGTATTGGTTAGTTGAGGGGAACTGGAGTTGGTTGCTGTGAGAAGGAAGAGGCAGTGCCTGGAGGAGCTGCCTGCAAGAAACATCACAGAGGTACAAAACTCTTGCAATAAGGAAACAACAATATGGAACCTTTGCAATATAATGACAGCAAGAGTGTGCTGGGCCCCTAACTGGCTCTGCCTGTGTCGTAGGTGTCCCCAGGCTTGGGTATGTTAGGGAGGCTGGGGGTGGCTGTCTGGGAGCAGAAAGAAAGGAGTGCCTTCAGTGAAAACGCTTTGGAAAGGCCACTTGTCCTGCTGCAGAGCTATAGAGTGAGAAGGGGAGACAGATTGAGCACAGAGGTGCCCACTAAGCCAGGCTGGGAGAGGTGCAATGACTGCATGAGCACAGCCTTTACGAAAGGAGTAGAGAGGTTGTAAAGCCATCCTGGTCCCAGGGAGGTGCCCCTGCTGTTGAAGCAGAGTGTGTCCACAGCAAGGGCAGAGAGGAGTCCCCCACAGCATCTTTCTGAGGAGACTCGGTGAGAGGGAGGGTGGACACAATGCAAGGAAGACTGGCACAAATCCCATCACACTGGAATCCATGCAGGCCTTCTGCCATGGAACTTTGGTTTGTTTAAGTTTCATTGAAATACCTGTTTGCCATTGGCCCAGGCATCTGCAGATGCAGAGCTGCAACTCTGGGACCTCAGTGCAGAATGTCGCTGTGGCTGGGGTACTAAATGGGACTAAAGTCAAAGGAAGACAGGTGTGAATTTTGGTCTCCCTGCACACTTCTTTGCTGTGCATTTGGACTGCTCAAGGTATAGCCAGGCTGCCCACAAGTACAATAATTGTGCCACTGACGGGGGACAGCACTCTGCAAAGAACAAAGAAAGCTGATTCTGGTCTATGTCAACATGCCATCATTATTATAGTACACTCTCTGATAGTATACATATGGAATAAGCATATATTCCCATGGAATACTTAGCTGTCTTTTAAATGAACAGATCCATATCTTGAGAAAAGATAATTTCTGAAGTCACTGTGGGAAGAAACCTATATTAAAATGACTTCAAGGGAAGCAAGAAATATTTTAATGAGGTAAAAAGTGAAAAAATATGATATTACTTAGACATCAGAAAATTGTGGAAATATATAAAGAATGAAGTGACAAAATCTGTCAGAAACTTGGAGAGAATATTTCTGCAAATCTATACTGTCAGTCTGTGAAAAATATTTCTAATCTATCATGGGAATGAGAAAAACAACTGTACAATGTTTGGAAGCATTTAAGCATTTGGTTGCAGCATTTCAGTGAGGTTGGACATGTTGGAGTACTGCAGCTATTTACCAACATTTTATTACTGTTAACACATTTTAATGCTGTTAACATGGCTTAGCTGAGGGATGGCTAACATCAACTCTGAGAGGCCCACTACAATGTCAGCTTAGTAATGACTGCTGCTTTGGTGTTTCCATGTTCTTCAGCCAGACGAGCAGAAAGAATGGCAAATATGAATAAGCAAAAGGCATGAAAAAAGGTCCCTTGGTTCATGATTTTAGCCCATTATTTCCAGATTTAGGCCAAGCTTTTCCCAATTGCTTTTAATCTCCTCAATGACTGATTTAGTTAAGGGTTTCAGTGTCTGCAATCCTATTAGTGCTGAGTTTGCTGAAGGCACAGGCCTTCCCTGTGTCACTGAGGTAGACTTTGCACTGAACAAGACAGGTCCTGTGTCCCCAGGGCTACTGAGCACTGTCTGTAACCACTCCATCTGCTTCCAGGGAGCATCTCTTGCAGAGTCTCTTTACAAATCACAGTCACCTCTGCCCTTAAATCCATTTTAAATTCAGTAGTAGCACTGCCAGATTTGAAACCAACAAATGAAATCTGCTTATCATTGTTGACTTTGAAAACAGATCCTTGGTTCTGTGAGCCACTTACCCTTAATTTGGTGATTTTTCTAATTCTTTCTTTTTGAGAGACAATCCTTCTGACATTTCCTTCGCACAGCCTGGGCGTTGACAGCTTCTGTTGCCTGAGTCTCTGTCCTCTCTCTGTGCTCTGCCTTGCCCCTAAGAGCCATAATTCTGCCATGGGAAGTCCACTCTTCTAGAGAGCATTTTTATGGGTTCCTTGTTTCTTTAGGGAGCTTTCTTTTCTTTTTGTTGAACTGCTGTTCCCCTATTTTTTCATTGGATATCTTGAACTTTGCCTGGGGTGGACAGTGATGCTTCTACATTACTCATTTAAGACAGAGTACAATTAGTAGCTGCAAGATATTTTTTAAAATTCCAATTACAAAATACACTGTCATGTATACCTCAGTTGCAAAATTTTCAATTTCTTGTTTATACATCAACAAACTTTTAATGCTAGAATTAAAGAAACATCTTCACAGCAGCTAATCAGTATGTCACAAAAAGATTGACATGATGTTATACTAGGTTTCCTTTAAAGTGCTTCTGAAGGATGACACTGTCTATGGACTGCACTCCATGTGTATAGTTTATTTCACTGTAAACTTGGACTTTTTAATAGAGTCTATTTCAGGAATTCAACCAGAGGTTTTCCTAAGGCAAAGGATTCTAACTAGAGACTTTTATCTTCCCTTAAACTTCTTACCCCCTAAGGATAGATGAGTTTGGATCCTTTTATTCTACAGTGCTTTTATTTGTCATTGGTGAAAAAATCACTGGAATTAGCAGTCATATATGCTTTAAATAGTGCTAGACTCTTCTAAAGAGAGAGAACATGAGGTTACATTTTGCATTTTGTTCTGGGTTTTTTTTTCAGTTTAATTTATCTTCTGGTTTATTGACAATCAATATTTATGTTTTCGAGCTTTTTTCCCCCTGTAAATAGAAGAGTTATAGTCTTAAAAGAATGAGAGAAATGGAGAGAGAGAGGTTGGAAGAGAAGAATGTGGAATTCTCATGAAGTTAGAAAATAAAGGATTAGGTTGACTGAATTAGGTTGAATCTCACAACACCACTTTTGTTGTGAGATTATAGGATTTGCCAATGGCAGTGGTGATGAGCCTGACAATGTGACCCATCTGTTGATGTGGCTTGACATTGTAGGAGATGTTCACTCTGAGGAACCCAAATCCTTGGTGATACTGAAATATTGCCAAGAATCCTCCAGCCTTCTGGACACTCCTCCTTGCTTGTGTTCCATGTGGGTGTTTATAACGGTACTGGGAATGGGTTTACACAGATTAGGAGCTACTGTAAGGATCTGGAATGGGGAGGTGAAGGGGTCAAGAGCTCAGGTGGCTTTTTTGTTAATTCTGCTCATCAAAAGGTCAAGTCTTAGGGACAGATGTGACTTGGAGATAAATATGTCTGTGAACAGATGGTGCTACCAACAGAATGTCAGCTGCCTTGACCATGGAATAATGTTCCATAAACCCTGTGATACAAAGAAGACCTCCACCTCTCTCTCTAGTTTACTGATTTATTGAGACAGGTTCGCAAAACTCACAGATTGGTAAGAGCTATTCTGCCCTTAAAAAATTCTAAATATTGATAAAAAAGCAACATTTACCTTAAGGTCAGAGAAAGGACAAAAAAGAGAATGATGGGTCTGTTAACAATATATTTGATAGTGTAGGGATTAACTAGGAGGAAGAAGAGGCTTTATTGCATGGGCAGCATTTTGCTGTAAATTACATTTGGTTGATTAAAAATTTCTTGGGTGTTTGGCATGTATTGCAGCATTAATAATTGACAGATATAGTTTGCTCAGAAAAAGCAAGCTGAAGACAAATGCGGAAGCCGGATGATGAATATCTAATGGACTCAAAGTATTTGGGAAGTACTTTATATTAGTTGAGAAAATACAGCACTAGGGAACCTGCCTTGAAGAGATTCTATGTGGTTTCCAGGGCTTAAGAGGCACTGAAATAAACTACAGCCATTTTTATTAATTTCATTTTGTTTTCAAGAATGTGAATGCTAAATGGAATGCTAGAAAGCCTCAGCCAGCATTAAATATGAGGACTAGTCTCCTACTTCATTCCTGAAAGACTTTTTTTCAGGAGAGGTGGATATCTGGGTAGATGCACAAGTGAAATGGACAGAGAGAAAGTCTCCAAGAATGTGATCAGATATTTCGAGCTAATTTTGTTTGCCAGTCTGTTACACTTATCCTAATAGTCATGCAGTGGTTGCTATGTGTTATCATTCCAAAAGAATGAAAATGCTTTTATTGCATTAATTATCTCTATTTTTTGTTTAACCTTACAGCAGTGACTTTCATTTTACATCCAGCTTTGGCTTTCAATGTAAAGCAGCAAAGCCATCAGTTGTACCCACTTTATGTGATTGCCACATGTGCACTTTGTGTCCCATCCATGACACATTGCTCTTCATTCAATCGTTGTGCTGCATGTTTCAGAGTTTAGGAATCTCTCTCACTGTTCAAACTTAGTGTCCTTGAAGAGCATTCCCAGACCTGTTCCAGTTCCCAGCTGAAACCTGAGTGTCACCATAACCTATTGCATCTGGTGCTGCTGGCCAGTGGAGCACCAGTTCTCAGTCCAGGATCCAAGCAAAGCTCTGTGTCTACTTCACTTAGAAAGAAAGTGAAAGCAGGTTAATACCCTCCCTGAAAGAAGCTTTCCCAATTCTTCTCATAAATGCCTGCATATCTTTTCTGCAACGTTTTAGTT